ATTTGAATAAAACGACTTTTAAAAATAAATAAATAAATAACCTTGCCATAAACGCCTATTTTTTGTGTCTATGTTATGATCTATTGGCATATATAATCACTTATGAATTCTTGGGGAAATAATCTTTTTATATTCAAATCATATTTAAGAGCTTGCAGTATCAAAGTAATCGGTGATAGCGTGACAATATTTGCAACGAATCTTGTGACTCTGAAAATGCGGGAGGTATCTGTTATACGTAATTGAGATCTTAACTAATACGACGTAGCAATTGATTGAGTGAAATATTCATAAATGCATATGTGTTGTATATAAAAAAAAGAATGATAATAATAAAATGTCGATTGCTTTTATTTGCTATTGACTTAGATATCCGTATCTATGGTCAAGATGTTTGCCGTCTTTCATCAGTTTCGTTATTAATATTCTGGAGAACCCAGTTTCTCAATTTTATTTGTCGATGGTTTCTTAAAGATTTGTAAATGATGGCTTCATGCTGCAGAGAAATTTCCATGCTCAATTTACAAATATAAACACCGCAATTTGGGTATAGGATACGCGGTATAGGTCGTGAAGATATGATTCCCGAAAGGCGAAGCAGGTTGCTCATTTCGAATTCCGAAATTTCGCAGGGCATTTCGCTATTGTAATCAATGCCTGCAGTAAATATAGGAGCATAGAGTGAGAAATGTTTTTAATACACGTTTCATTAATCAAGTTATAATGCTGTTTATTTTTCACGTCAGATAAAAACATACCTAAGTTAAAAACTTTATAAATATGCCCGAGGAACGTGTGAGAAATGAATTCACCCACAACGTAATTTTTATTTAGATGAATTCTTCTGGTAACGATGACTTCGGCGATTAGCTTTGCAAAATCGGATTTTACGGATATGTTTATAAATATAAATTGTTTGGGACTATGGAATGCAGTGGTCACAGCAGATATGTCATTTTTTAGGATTTCATCTGCAAATATTCCAACCTGGAACAAGACCCACTGCATCCTTTCGGCCGGACGTGTGGAAGAGAAAGCGGGTGGAATTTGGTATGTCGAGGAGGAGGCACCACGAGAAGTTTGATGCGGTGTGAAAGAATTCGCTGACGAAGCTTGATAAGGCGTAAAGGTTGGTGGTTGCGCATTATAAGCCGTTTGGGAAGAGCCATGAGAGGATGACTTTTTATAATCCAATAAGATTTGATGGAGTCGTGTTCTAGGACATGTTTGATCGCGAACCAAATGCTCCCTGTGAGATCAGATAGATAAGTAATAAGTATGGAGGATGATAATAACGTGCCGTGAACCGAATTATATTCGCACTTACATTTCCATCCCAGAGTCCCATGTGATAAACAAAGCTACGTTTTTTCGAGCACAGGCATGGAATAACTTTTCCTGTTTTTCGAAATCGTGATATAACATGCTGATTACGATAACGGCATCTAGTGTGAAAAATGTATCGTCAAATGATCGCAATGAATATGAACAAATTAAACGCTTAATAATAATTACCTGCTATTGCCTCCTCGTAGTCATCACATTCCTTCCAGGTACCCTTTATTATATTCGCACCGATGGACTCTTCCCTAATATACTATTGATTAAAAAATTTGTCAATTTCTGTTGGTTCGCAATTTTAAAGCTTTCGCACATACTTGTGATTGTTGATCGGAAACCAACAAATGGATTTTACGGGAACCTTTGTCTCGTAAGCTTGAAACTATCAAGCTCATAAGTTGAATATCCTCATCGCAGACGATATAGATATCAACATCCGAG